AGTTCATGGATGCATTCCTCAAAAAGCTGGTAAAGAAAAAGATGGTACAAAAAGAAAGTCTTTATCTGACAGTGAATCTGATGATAGCAAATCAAAGAAGAAAAGAGATAAACAGATAAACTAAGTGGCTTTGCCAGAGGCCTTGATCCTGAAGGAACAATTGGTGCCAGAGGCAGCAGTGGAGAGTTAATGTCTCTCATGAAATGGAAAGATTCAGATGAGGCTCATTTGGCGCTGGGAAAGACGAAGTGTCCTCAAACTGTAATTGCTTTCTATGAAGAATGACTAACTTGGCATTCTTGTCCCGAAGACGAAGCCCAATAATTGTTTGCATTGCTTTTTATATATATTTATACATACATATAAAATCTGGGTCTTGTTTTTTTAAAAAATTTTATTAGTGAAGAAAGAACTACATTATAATGAAAATCAACTTTGATATGTTTGTTTTGTAGTAGTGCTGAGGAGTTGTCGTGGGGGTTGCATCAGTAGCACTGGTTACTTTGAACAGAAGCTTTCTGTAGTTGCTTCCTTTATCACAAAAGAACATTTGATGCCATGTTGTTGTATTTTTTCCTCTGCATTAGAGAAACTTTTCTAGATGTTGGGAGAAATCTCCATAGTCATTACTCAGTCAGGATTAGTGTGTGCCTAAGGATCATTATGGGTTTTTTGTTTATTGAGAGGGAGGTGGGGAGGGGGGGGAGAGCAGGTGTGTACACATATATAAATGGTTTTCTTTCTTTTTTTCTTTTCTCTCTCTCTTTTTTTTTTTTTTAACCAAAACACAACTATAGATACACTCATGTTTCTGAGCTGCCATCATTTTCAGCAGCCTAAGAAAAAAATCATTTGAAGTTAAATTGAAATTTTTTCCTGAAGTTTTTAACCTTTGAAATTAGATCATTTGTACTTAATTGGACAGTTTAAATATAAGCAGTTTAAATTGGACAATTTAAAGTAGACACATCAGAATCCATATTTACAATCATAAATGCAAGCTTATTGGCAAAACCCCTGAAAGGAAAATTTTATCACTGCCAATAACCTCCTCTCCCAAATGAGAAAACTAGGCAAACCCTGATGTGTTTTAATTAGGTAAGCAACATTAATTTAAAGGTTTCACCTCTTAAAATGTTCCTTTACAAGAAGTTGAAATCCCTGTGCTATATTGACTAAAAAATTAGGGTCAAGGAATATGTAAGACTTCACTTATGGATACCTAATCAGATCGTTAGAGACCTTGGCAATTTGGGACCTGCTGGAATAAATGGGCGAACAAACTTTTTATAATATAAACTCTTGATCTGCATGTTTGCTCTTTGCTCCAACTCAATCCTTACATGCAGGCTCAGTCTCAATGTTTGGGGTACTGGTTCAACAAAAGCCAGGAAAAACAATCGCTTTGTAGTAAACAGAATGTTACCCAATGTATATTATTTACTTTATTGTAAATACTGGTAAACAGTGGTTAATAGTTTTATATTCCTTAAAAAAATACCAATGGCATTTTTCATGGAACTAGAAGAAATAATTCTAAAATTTATATGAAACCACACAAAATCCTGAATAGCCAAAGCAATCTTGAGAAAGAACAACAAAAGCTGTAGATATCATGCTACCTCATAGCAAGCTATACTACAAGGCTATAGTAATCAAAGCAGGATGATACTGGCATAAAAACAGACTGAGATTGAGGGAACAGACTAGAGAGTCTGGAAATAAACTCATGCCTATGTGGTCAATTAATCTATGACAACAGATCAAAATATACAATGGACTAAAGACAGTTTATTCAATAGCATTGAGAAAATTAAACACATATATGCAAAAAATAAAAGGAAATTAGGCCATGTTCTTACAACATATAAAAGACTAAACTCAAAATGGATTAAAGACTTAAATGTAAAACCCCAAACCATAAGACTCCTAGAAAAAAATGTAGATAGTAAACTGTATAACATTACTCTTAGTAATATATTTTCTGATATATCTCCACAGACAAGGGAAACAAACAAAAAAGAATAAACAAATGGGACTATGTCAAACTAAAAGTGTTTTTACCCAGCAAAAACAAACACCAACAAAATGAAAAGACAACTTACTAATCCTGAGAAGATATTTGCCAATGATAAGGGGTTAATATCAAAAAATTATAAATAACTCATACAACTTAATAAAAAAAAAAAAGCAAGCAATACAAATAAATGGGCAGAGGACCTGAATACGATTTCTCTAAAGAGGACATACAGATGGCTAACGACATACAAAATGATG